AAAAACATATTTGTAAGGTGATTAGCAGAATTTGTCAAATAAACAAGGCTGTCTACATTCCTATAATATTCCTTTGTAAATATGCCTGAGCAAATCTAAAGCATTTCCATAAGTCATAAGGGAATATGCAATTTTGAAATAGAGGAAACCAAGAAAATGCTGGCTATTTGTACGTGTATCAGTGAAGTCAGATAAAATAAATATGCATGCTCAAATCCATCTGAAACAAAGAAATATCAGAGATACTTAACATAAAAAGCAAGACACTGGGAATTAAGAAAGAGAAGGTTGTGCTTTAGCAGGAGAGTTGTTTAAGTCCATGTACATTTATTTTTATTTACGGGGTTAATTTTCCATTTTCCAATTTTACCTTTACCAAAATATAAATTACTCTTTTACCTGATTATCCAGTCACTTAAAAACATCTATAGAAGTTCCTATCGCCATCTATGACCTTCTTATATGTGTAAATATATTTATGCCAAGATACAAGAACACTAAAGAAGTTCAGTGTTAGTGGTGACACAAAGGGGATTGCCTCCCCCTAAAGAACGTTCATAATTATTGCAATGAGCAATTTCCAAAACAGAACTGTTATTTTTATATTCTTATGCCCTCTATTACACTTGGTATTCAAACGCATTGTGCTTTTGGTAATAAAGTGACAGAAGAGAGTAGCTTTTTATTTAAAGTAGTAGCATCAAGTTGGCTTGTGAACGTTTGTTTGTGTATTCTTGGTACCAAAACCAGAAACACCTGAGTACTCAGGAGAATTAAAAAACAACAACAACAAATAATCAGCTGAAAACACTCTCACACACAAAACCCTTAGTTACCATTCTTTGAATGTTATTCAAAGGCAACTGTTTTTTTAGTTACTTAAGGCAACTATATTCCCATATGAGCACTGCTGAAAAAAAGGAGTACTGAGTGAAAGTTAGCAACCAAAGCCTTTAATTCGTCTGTTACTTACTCAGTGAACAATATTACCTACCAGCTAACTGTAATTGGGACTAGAGAGAGCCTATAAAGATTTACAGTAAGAGTCTGAGGGGAAAAAATGCACTGTTAAATTCATACGACTTTGGAGAATCCTGAATAATAATAATTGCATGTGTTTCTAATAACTGCATGGCTGGATGGTGAGCCCTTAGACACATGTCTCCTTTCTCCAGTGCAAAATGTTAACTATCCTATTTTAAAGGATTCTTGATTTTAAAGGATTAGCTTGAATCCTGAGAGGTGAAACTCGGGGTCAGGAGTCACAAGGCTGGTAACTGACAGAGCCTGAAGTGCAATGGCGGGTGGGGGGGGGTCTCGGACTCGGCCCCAAATTCCACAATACCTGGATGTCTCCAAGAGCTGGGCTCCTTCCTCTTTGACATTCCTGATACAATTAATGGAAATAAGATTGGAATTTAATAATAAAAATGCTGACACCGTCTTATCTATAGCTGCCCAAATGCTGCTATTACAATGACGTTTTCTAAGTTGAGTATGACCAGAAAACTTGCTACGTTTCAATCTTATTAATCAACACTTGGGTGCTTTGGGTGCCACACATTTTAGAGTAGTCTGCTTTATAAAAACATGAGATTTACCAAACAGCAAAGACCGTATCTGTTGTGAGACAAAGTAGATCCCAAACACTTCAGTTTATAACAGACTGAAAGAATCCAAAATATAAATCTTAAATTAATCCTAAAAGTTCGGTTGTTCTTAAGTGTTTTATGCATTAGTCATTTCAACAATAACATGATTTGTTCACAGACATTGCAAACATAATAAACATCTCTTCTAAATTTTTTCCTACTTTGAAGAATACTGTGATTACTTAACAGCGAGACATGTTGACTTTGTTGAAGCAACTAGTCAGGAAATAAAATGAGTACTTTCCATATTTATAAATGGTATTTCTTCTCCTATTTTCCCCAAATGTTTTCTAATCTAACTACATAACTTGGGCTGATAAAAGGGCAATGAAATAGAGAAATAGGTACCGTATTTTAAATTATTCACTGACTTGGTGTTTAAGGGCTTTCCTATTAAGCAAAGCTTTTATCACTGATTTGTAGGATACGGAAGAAAAATGCTATAACCTGTTTTGGTTACATAATTGTCTATGAAAAGAAAGTAACAGGTTACGAAGTGCCATTAAAATGACTGAAACTATCTTTCCTAATGTAAATATATGTGGTCTTCAAGTAAAAGGACAGCAGTTACATGGGTACATATGTTTGATGGTCGGGATCTTTTTTTCAGAGACTTCTTTTTCTTTCTAGTATTATTTCTATCCCCTACAGAGCTTATAAAGCCTCCAGAGTTTGCCCTGTTTGGTAACATATGTGTAGCTTATGTCCGAAAACAAATGAGGAAGTCATTTATAAAATATTACAATAAGGAGTACATGAAATATCATCACGGACTGTATTTCTGCACATAGTTGGAAACTAACAGCCTAGAAGCAGCCGTAGTGTTACCCTGACCCCTGAAGGAAGGAATCAGGAGTTAACTTCACATCCAATTTTCTCCACAATATGAACACCAAACCTCCAAATCCACTGGCACAACATATCAATGTTTAGGCATGTCCTGTAGAAACATGACAGTGGTCTCGAATATCAGAGCTCAAAATTTCATTCCACCATTCCACCATTCTGATTTGGGGTAAGCAGATCTTTGCAAAGTTACTTAGTGGATGTCTAGATCCTGCACCTGACTCCACAGGAAAAACAGAAAGAATAATCTCATCTCCATGCTAGAAAAGTCCCTTAGCCTTCTTGGGGAAATACACATAAAGGGAAATAGGAAATAGCACAACTAGATGAAAAGACGATTGAATTCCACAGTGTTAGGATTCCAGTAGAGTTGCTTTTTGAGGGAATTCAGGATCTAGTGAGGGAAGAACAGATCCTGAAACATTAGAAGGCCAGAAAGGAGCCGATGTATATCTTCTTTTTTTTAAAAAAAAATCACAAATCCAAATAAAACATCAGGGTAAATGACATTTTATTCTGCAGTATTCCCTCCTCTGTACAGTGAGCCCAGTACATTTATCTCATCTCATGGTAAGAGTCACAGGCAGCTGCAACATGTCCTTTCAGGCATTCAGTAAGTAAAACTTGAAAATGGATTGCTCTTTATTTCTGAGATTTGTATTAAGAATGAACTCACCGCCATTTATTTTTTTAATTTAACAAGGTATCATTACCTTGGAAGGTTTTTACTTCTCTGTTCCCTGAGGGTTAAAATGGCCCAGAAAGAGGTCTGTCAAGGCAAAGATAAAGGTACAAAACACTCACTTCTGACACACTGTGGAAGCAATCGTTTTTCCTGAGGGAAACACCAGGCTGAAATCTGCATTAAGCTCCACCAGGCAAAATGCAAGAGGACCCCGATAGTCATTCTGTTCACAGTCTTCATTTCAACCGATTTAAGTTTCTGCTCAGTTGGGGGCATGTATGTCAATCACAGGGTACAGAACTATGACCTTGGCTGGGATCATCAGCCCCAATTACTCAACGGGGCACTAGTGAAACATTGCGGACTCATTTTGACTCTCCACGGGTGTGGCTAAAATTGGTCCTGTCCAGCTCTACAGCTTATAGAGATCTGCTGTCCCTCAGAAACTCAGTATGAGAAAACTCATGCTAAATTTGCCACAGAGATCAAGCTTTACAGGACCCCCCGGAGCTAATCTCTATCTGCTCTCCTCCTCCTCTGTTTGCTGTTACAAGCCTTCAAAAGTTAACAGGGTGATGGAGCCTCCCTCTATACAATCATTTCATCTCACTATCGTTGACTGAAGCTCGCTGATGTAATGAAGTTACATAATCACCGATTATGCACGACTTCCATCCATCTTCCTACAGATCCACATATCTTCTCCCCTCCCCTTCAGATCAATCTACCAGGTGAGATTTATAAGGCATGTAAATGCTCCATTCTCTCATCATAGGTACTGAATATGGGACTTTAGCATTGCAGTACAGTGCACTGAACCACGTCATCAATATTGATTTTTTTAATCCCATTTCCCAGGCGGAATATGCTTAAACATCCTTCGTGGTCTAGTCTCTAACTTTTTACTGAAAGGGTAAAATAGATGTAGCAGATAGGACACATCCTCAACTTAAGGTTAAGGGAAGTGTGTAATTGCCTGCATTTCCAAAGCTGGCTGCATTGCAATAAAACGATGGTCTCTGCTTCCAGACCTTCAACTCCCCTGCACGTGGGTCGCAGCTTCAGCTATTTAGGGTATTAAGTAAATCATTATATTATTGGGCTATTGAACTTGAGAAAGCAAGCATTTGGTGATATTTAAAATAATATTGCATGATTCTCTATTTTGCTCATCCTTTTCAGCTTTTTCTTTTCTTTTCTTTTCATTCTGAACGATAATCCAGTGGATAAGAAAAGTAGCCCAGGGTACTTAATAATCTCCAATAATCACAACCTAGAGAATAATTAGCAATGATTATCACCTTAAAGTTTAAGAACTTGACAAGTGGGATGTCCCTGGTCCCATTGCGGCTGTGAAATGCAGCAGAATGCTGCACTGAGTTGAAAACATATTTCTTTTAATGAATAAAGAGTAGCTCGTTTCATTTTAAATAGGGCTCTTCAGTAAGTGTTCCTTTCACTGCTGCTACCCCTTCTAGAACACAGGAGCCACAAATATTGCATCCAAACAATAGAGTGTCTATCCGGAATTAATTCAAGACACTCTTCCATATCAAAATAATTGGAGGGGGAAGTGATGCTTTGATTTATTTTCAATTACACTCAGAATACAGACCTACACACACACACACACACACACACACACACACACGCACACACACCAACACACCCAACTGCAGTTATTCCATTCAGTGCCAATAACGGCCACATCACAGCCATCAATGCGATGCAGCAATCATCCAAGTCACCCATTCCCATTACAAACGCCCAAGTTCGCTCACACCACTGATGGGTTTGCATATATAAAATGACCTTACCCACAACAGTCTTCCAAATTATTCTCCCCTGGATATCAGTCGGCAAGGTAATTGCTGGTCATCACAATGCGTATTCAGAAAAATCCACGCTTTACTCCTGTGTTCTTTTTCTTGTTTTTGCTAGCAATTAATATCGTGAACAAGATACCCATTCACAAATGCCAAGTTCACCATAAAAGCAGATAATTCCATACAGCTCTTCCCTACAAGACTGCCTCCAGTTAGTTCTCAAAGTGCCCGATTGTTTGGTGAAGATACAATCCAGGTGCAGAGCAGGAGGGGGGGGGGAAAGACGACTAGGAGAAAAAAGAAGAGGCAGATAGAAAAGGAGACACTGAGAGAGGAGAGAGCAGAAAAAGAGGGAAGAATTTTTTTTTTTTTTTTAAGGAGGAAGGAAAAAGGCCGATAAGTGAGGAAGTCTGAGAGCTTTATGACAAGAACCGGAGTCTTGCTTGCAAATCTTCTGTATACATGTAGCCCTTCAGATCCTCTTGGTCCCCAAGTAAAATTTCCAGATCCGGGATGCAGCCATAAGAAAGAATCCTATGTATATTTCACAAGTATCCCGCAATAACAGATCCGACGGGGTTTTCCTTGTACAGTACTGCTGTGTGAAAGCACACAACCCCTGCTGTTTGGGAAGATGTCTCCTGGGTCCTAGCTCTCTTCAGCAGCCCCCAAAAATGATTTTTCAGAAAAGAGTGGGGGAAAAAAAAAGCAGCTTTCCGTTTGCCTTGAATGATGCTAATCCTGAGCGAAAACGACACGGAAACCACGAATAGCTTGAGATCTTGATTAATAGCCACAATCCACTCAAAATATCCCAGGAAAGAAGGGGCGAAAACAAGAAAGGGAAACTGCAATGCATAAATGATTCCAGTGTTTCTACAAGATCGGTTCATTTGATTGAATGCATTCTCTGGGTTTGCTGCAAGTCATAAAGAGGATAGTGTTACTGCCACCCAATGGATATTTTAGTACTAGCCAATCCATAGAACGCCACCGCTTTGCGAGTTTTAGTTTTCCGAAGACTAAAGAGGAAGGAGGGTAGCCTGGAAATCTTTTGGAAAAGACCCCGAGAGGCCTCAAATAACGGGAATCTGTCCTTCCAGGCAAAACCGGACGGCAAATGTGGACTCTCACCCATTCCTGCGTTAGCCACCTTAGAATTAGGGTTCCATTTCTCCCGGAGGCAGAAAAGTACAGAGAACGATGCCTAAACTGACACGCTCACAATAAGCTCCTTTTCATCCCTTCTCTTTAAAGCACATTTGTTACTGCGCGCGATCGCTCCCTGTCCCTGCGACCCCACCCCCACAGAACCATTCTCAATATCACTTTAAGCGGAATTGCTAAAGAGAGCCAGGTGCGGGAGGGGAGGGGAGGGGCTGCTCCGAACCTCTGGGGGAAAGGTGATAATTGTTTCTAAAGGTCAGTTTTGCAAAGTGTTTCAGCTTGTATTGATATGTAAACTGTAAGTCATTCAGGCAGTAACCCTCCCGGCCGCCGGCCGCCGCACTTTCAGTTTGGGGAGGAGCATTATTTTCCCTAAGGGAGAGGGGTTTGGGAGCAGGGTGCTGGCGGATGGTTCTCTGGGAGCGTGGGGGTGGGGGCGGGGCGCAGAGAGGAGGAGACTGAAGAGGACCCTCCTCCCCTCCACCGCGTAACCGAGTTCGCTGCAGGATTCTGAGATGGAGTGCTAACGGGAAAAGAGGGACCAAGTAGGTACCGGTCAATTAAATTGGAAAATTTGCGCATTTTAAGATCCTTGCCCTTTATACTACCTTGGGATAGTATAATACCCACCCGGGATTCTGTGCTACTCAAACTTGAACGTAGGTTTGGTCACCTGGGAGTCTTGTTAAAATGCAGATTCTGATTCAGTTAAGTCTGGAGTGAGGCCTCAGAGTCGGCATTTCTAATAATATGGTCCTTGAGCCTGCATAATGCTGTTGATGTCTGGACCACACTTGGAAAAGCAAGACTCTAGGGCAGGCTTAATGCTTACGCGGCAACCACGGTGTTAGTTTCTGACAGTGGTGTGGGCAGGGCATTTAAAGGACTGAGAAACACTTTTGCAGTCACTACCCCTCCCTCGCCCCACTCTTCCACCTTTCCCAGACACCACCTGTAGCCCCCATTCTAGAAACTTTAACCCATCTCCACAAGCTTTTGTAATGTAAAGTTTAAGAGGATAAGCCCCACGTAGAACAATAAATAGGTAAAGCAGCCTGGGCCCTGCAGAAATGGGTCTTCATTTAATTTGGAGAGTAAAACACAACTGAAGATCAAGGAAACGCGTGCAGGTATTCCGTGAAACGCGAGCTAACAAATGCAAGCCAAGCTCGGTCGGGACACAGGTGAGGCTGACGGGGACTGGGAGACGGAAGGGCAGTCAATCTGTATTTTTAAGGAAGGAGCATTATATTGAAGTTTTCAATCCAAGGCGAGGGAAGATCTGGTTAAAGTGTGCGGGCAAGTCTGACACGGTTTCCTTGGTGGTAACTCACCCAGATTAACCTCCTGTGTGCCAGTCGCTCTCTTCTTGCTCCTTTTCCACATGCTCTAGTCCAGAGTAAACTGAGGAGCGAGGTGAAGGGGACGTATGTTCTCCTCTTCTCACAGCCAGTGAGCTATATTTTCAACACCTATCACAGTCCTTCAGCTGACCCATTTAAGTGAAGAACTAGACCTCACGCGGACTGGGAGGGGCACAATTAACAAATTTAATTGCTTCAAGCACAGTTTAGAAGTAAAAGTCCTGGACTGTAGGCTCAAATCCTAGATTTGAGTCTAATTTCTACTCCTAAGTAGCCATAATTTCCCGAGGGAATCACTTTAATTTCTCTTGGCCTCAGTTTCCTTGTCTGTAAAAATACAGGTTGCCAAGGTCCAAATACAGGTTGTACCAGCTCCATATGGTACAAAAATCAAGTCCTTTGTTTGCAAAGCTTCGGTCAGTTTGCGACTTTACACAGAGCATGAATCCTGATTATTACCTTGACATGGGCTGTAGGCAGAGACTCTCCGGATGCTTTGAAAAGTGTGTTAAAGACGCAGGTGAACATTTGACCATTTAAATCTTATTGCAAAAGATTATTTTAAATGCTTTCTCTTCAGATCCAGGAAGGGAAGTATTTGTTTGAATCCGAGGTGAAACATTGTCTATTCCTGGATCTTAACAGAGCCAACTGTGGGCCTCGCTGTTTGTTGCCATGGGATCCTCTTTGTGCGAACTGTCTTGAACTGTGTGGGAACATTTTCCTCTTGCCTCCCTTCAGTTCTCTAACTCTTCTGAAGATATGTGTCAGAACAAAATGTAGCTGCATTATTGCCAATTAAGACTAACAGCAGCTGCAAGGTGCATCTAATTAAGAATTTTAATTACTTCACCAAATTTTCATTTGCAGATGTTTAGAGCATTAAACAATGTATTGTGATTTTATTTTAAAATCTGAAAAAAGCTGACCTCCCTCCAAAGTTTGGGGGTGGGCAGTGCTAAAAAAACTATACAACTCAATGCTAGGCGTAAAAGAGCTTTTGACAAGGGGAGTTGGTACCTGAGCACAGTGTTTGAGAATAAATGACTTTACATGCAGGGTGAAAAAATAGTGCATGTATTCATAAATGAAAAAGGCCAACAAATCTGAAAACACTGCCAAAATTAGTAATTTACTATTCGAGCAGAATCTTTGCATGTTACAAAATTCTTCAGATGTTCTGTTCTTTTTCTTTTCCAGTATCACAAGGGTTAACAGTAAGTTTGGTGCTGCAGTGTGGGGATTGTAGGCTATAATCCAAAGCATTATGGGGTTTGTAGTAAAAACTGGCTGCAGATCAATTCCATGCTTCTAGCTTCTCTCAACTGAAAGAACTGCTGTTTTATTTTCTTATAATAAAAAAGAAGAATGTCAAGATATTTTAAATAAGAAATTCATTTTAATGAAACAAAGTTGGTATTACTGGGACTATGAAATTAAAGTTTAGCTACAATAATATTCTGACTGAGGAGATGGAGAACGCAATAACATCTCCTTTATAAGCCACAAAAAACCTGAGCAGGCTATTTCCCAACATGACTACCCTATAGCTGGGGTTTCAAAAATCACTTACATTGTTTTAGCAGTACAAAGTGAGAAAACAGCAGGTTGTGCATGTATTGAGAGAGAATTGTGAACCCAGGAAATGAACTCAAATTCTTACTGACTCTGCCTTTAACCATTGGTAGCCTCCATTTAATTGTCTACAAAGAAGAGTTTTATTTAATCGACCTTTTTGAATGTTTTGTTATGCAAAAAATACTCTGAATATTCATAGTAGCTCTCCTTTTCAATGAAATTAAACCTAATGAAATTAAGGCTAGAGGGGCGCCTGGGTGGCTCAGTGGTTAAAGCCTCTGCCTTCGGCTCAGGTCATGATCTCAGGGTCCTGGGATCGAGTCCCGCATCGGGCTCTCTGCTCAGCAGGGAGCCTGCCTCCTCCTCCTCTCTCTCTCTGCCTGCCTCTCTGCCTACTTGTGATCTGTCAAATAAATAAAAAAAAAAAAGAAATTAAGCCTAGAATATCTGGAAAATAGGTCTAACGTGGGATATTTCACTCTGTTTAGGTTTAATTAATTATGGAAGTGTATAAATTAAGGAGTTATAATTCTGTTCATCTTTTGTATGCAGGTGATTCTGTGTAGGTAAGTACATAATTTATCAAGGTTTTGATTTAACTGTGTTGGTAATTTATTCCAAAAGTTCATGAAACATTTTCTGTATGAGACAAATTTGAAGTCTAGTTCTCTAGTATTGTTCTATGAATTCAGCCCCCCTTTAGTTATAAAGGCTAAAATACATCTTTTCAAAGTCTCTGTTCTCTGTGCAAGTCCCCATTATCATGCTAAGTTATTTTGAAAGTATGTTTTATACCTAAGTTTGCTTATTGTTCGCTTTTTCCCCTTACAGAGGACTCCATGCACAAAAAGGCAACACTAAAGCAAACTATTATTACAGATACGAATAAATGCAAAATCAAGCACCCTTCATTTTCAGACCTTTTGCCAGCAACATTCATTTGAACCTACTACCACATATTCTCAAATGATGTGTAGACAAAGACTTGAGCATTTCAGCAAAATTCTACCATAAATTTCAGAAATAATAAAGAATGCTATGAAAAAGCAAACAGCAATGGGAAAGAAAAATGCCATGCCTGCTTTTCTTTCAGATTTCTAAGTTTCAAATCATAAAAATATACAAATATATATCTTCTTGAATGCACTTTACATTATTGTTCATACTGTGAATATTTCTTTTATGGTCATAAAAATAAAAGCAATGCCC